TCCTTAAAACCCCGGAATACCAAATTTCATAAAAATATTTCGCATCGTTTAAATTTAAAAAATTTTATTTTGTCGCTCTGTGTCTCGAAAACAAGAGGAGATAGACATATAGTTCATACGACAAAAAATTCTTATTTTTTATCGTACTATTACCCCCTGAATTTACGGAGGTCTTTCGGAAACGCTGAATAACGCTATGAACAAATTTTTCGAAATATCGGCCTTGGGTAATTGAAATGGCACGCACCTTAGTGAGTTATACTTATATAACGGGTGACTCAGATAACTTAACAATACATATTATGTCAGTAACGAAAGAGATAAAAAGTTATTTTTTAAGCAAAAACTGTAACGGGTAATGTGGGACTTCCTATTTTAATTATTTTGTCACTCATTTTTCTATATCCACATCAAATGGTGAATACATTTGAATTGTAAAGCATGTCTAATGTAAGATTAAAAAAATAGTGTCGTGTAATGTTGTCCAACTTTGCCTTATACGAGTAGAGGGCAATTACCCATTTATAGCTTATTTCAAAATTAAGCTTTTGCTTCTGTAACCCGCGTAGCAGCGGACCTCAACGCGTACGGCGCTGTGGCTGCGCCGTGCCGCGTACTTCCGCGAGCTACCACCTTCGGTCCCTCAGACTCTTCTCGCACCATCGAGATAGCGTTGGGGAAGGAGGCCATTTCCTCTTTCACCCGGTATGTCGGGAGATCTTTCGCCGGCAAACAGGTGTGAGGGCAGTTCGTGTGACCGCTGGTCTCTCCGGTTTGGGACGAGGTCTCGTCCAGCTCAGTCTTGATCAAAGAATCACGATCTGATTTATTATTTGTTGTACCTTCGAGGGCACCAATCCTCGTAGCACTGGATATCGAAGTCGCGTCGCAGGGATACATCTTACCCCGTACGACAATGTCGGAGCAATCTCTTTTGCTCCGAAAGTCTTGTAGACGTCTGGTAGAAACACTGACTCTACTATTAAAATGTGGATCTCTCGAGGGAGCCCTAGAAGCAAGGACAACTTCTTTACTAAATTTGGGAGTGCGCCGCCACAATAACGTGCGTACTATTGCTTTGTGCCCGTGGGTCACAAAGTAAATGCTTCGTAGGTGTTTGACGAGGAAGGTTGCCTCGACGAGTGACCTCCTAGAAGTTTGACGAGGAAAATTGCCTCGGATTTGCAGATCTCGATTGAGTCTGAATTGAATAGGACTCGTAGGAGCCTATATGTGTACTCTGTACCGAGGTGCGAGTCTCTCGATGGAGCCGGCACGATCGGAATCAAAGTCTTCGTCGGAGGTTCGCAGCCTCGGACGGTATGCAGGTCTCTGGAGGAGCCTGAAATATATCGCTGTTTCGTCGCAGGGGGCGATCGAACAGGATCTTCGCCTCAGGTTGGGCTACCTCGGGCGGTACGCAGGTTTCTGGAGGAGCCTGGGGTATCGCTGTGTCGATGCAGGAGGTTATCGCACAGGATCTTCGTCGGAGATGGTCAATCTCGGACGGTATCACAGGTCTCTATTGGATCCTGGAAATGTACCACTGTTTCGATGCAGGGGGCTATTGAACAGGGTCTTCATCTCAGGCTAGGCTACCTCGGGCGGTAGGTCTCGTGAAACGAGTAGTGGTTGCTAGGCACTATTAATATCACGTCGAGGAATGGTAGCCTCGACGGAAGCCTCGTGAAGCGAGCCTGTGAGCTTGAGCTCCAAAGTTCTTGAGCTTGATGACAGGGTTTTTTCAATCAAACCGTGGAAGATATGTTAAAAGTATATATTGAAAAGAATTAACAGACAATAAAGATTCACAATTTAACATATACAGGTTATTTACCATGAATAAGATTAGTTACACAATCGCTCTGTATCGCTTTCTTGTACCATGCACTCCCACTGTAAGGCTCCAAACGCCGGAAGTAGACGTTCGTTCGCTTTTTTGAAATCTCCATACTTTTGACGGAACGGTCGTAAATGGTCCGCCAATATTTCCAATAAAAAATACCATTTACCGCTGTCGACGTCGGATCTCGTTCCTCTCTGGCCTCTCCGGATAGTCGACGTCGACGTCGGGGATTTTGGAGTTTTTTCCCGGTTTGGGAAAAACTCTACCCGCGGTCTCGGCTTAGGCTGCCGAGCATCGCATCCAACCGCCAGAGCGGTGTGACCTTCGGAAGACGGTCCTTTCGGCCCAAAGACGGGGAAATTGGAAACATCGGTGAAATTTTTCCCGTATTCGTAAACGGGCTTACGGAGGTCTTAATACTGGATGGATTGATTTGAGAAATGGTGTGTAGATGCACGGCATGAAGTAGTGCCGTGGTTGGAGGGTTCGGCCGAGATCGCGGGGACACCTTCGGCGGCAGCTATGAAGACGTGAAAACCTATTATGGCTTAGCTGGCCGTTAGTAGTCGCGCGATTCGGCTCGAATTTGGATATGACAACCACCTAGGGATACTCTATTGTGGTTGGAGGGTTCGGGCGAGATCGAATGAGCGGAACGGCTAAAAACGCGGAAAACGTGACATCCGCGTTTCCCCGTATAACGGCGTTTTGGCTCATTCGATTCGGACGAAAATTTAGTAAGATAATGCTAGCGACTTGAGGAGTGCTGCATTAAATTTTGACACCGATCGCTCAATAACTTCTGGAGTTATTGACGATAGCGTCCTTGACCAATTCGAAAGGGTGGTAAACTTTCTGATGACAGTTTCCAAATATCGCCTCGAAGCGTCCCGGGGTTCGCTTGCAGGTTGCGAGAGTAGCGGCAGTGGATACTGCGTGCCGGTATGACAGACCCAGGCGAGATCGGTCGCGATGCGGGTGACATTGGAAACATCGGAGAAATTGGTCTTTCGACTTCGGCGGCGCTATCGCCGGAGCGATCGGTTCGGTTTCATGGGGCGACGTCCTCGCTGAATTGCGGAGTCACTGTCTTGGGTCTCGGACGGCATCGAGTCCGATGGTGGAAAATGTACCGCGGTGGAATTACCTGTCGCTTGGCACGGCGGCGCTCTGGAAGCGCTATCGCCAGGAGGATCGATGTCGGGTTATGGGGCGACGTCTGCATTGAGATGCAGAGTCGCGGAAATTGCTCCTCGACGGTATTGAGTACGATATCTGAAATGATACCGTGGAGGCTTTTTTGATTTGCCCGGCCGACGGCGATTAGTTTTGCAACCGTGGCGGGTTTTCGGTTTGGATTGGAAAGGTAGGTGAATATGATTGTTTCGCCTCCTTCCTAATTCAACGGTCTCCGGCATATCCGTAGGTACAAGACTACTTCTATGAATATACTGGATGTTCTGAAATCCTGAAGCTCGCTCGAAGGGTGGAATACGACAAGTTACTAAAGGTCGTTCAGCGAATTGTTTGACTAAAGAAGTTTGACCGAACTAGTCCGCCCATTATTCGCTAGTCGATTTTGAGCAAATAACTGTTCCACATTTATTTGTACAGTCAACAATAACTATTGACTGTTCTTAATAAACATCGATATAATTCAATAGTTCTAAACATCTACTGTATAAGCATACTGCATGTTTATTTTACCTTGTGCCTCGCTCCTCACTGTAATTTAATTTAGTTATATTCAATATGGAATATCGTAAAATGATTAGGTATTTAAGGAATAAAGTTTCTACAGCAATTATATCGATAGTTGAGTCGCTAAGTATGCGAATTAATTGGGTGAACAGTGAAACTATTTGCTCACATCAACTAAATAAAAAAAATTCAGTTAAGAAATTTGACTCGGTGAAAATGTCAAAGAACGCCGATTTCTATTCTCGTCAGACAAATTCGTGTCACTTTGCAGGGATTTTATTATCCATCACTAAACACATAAGTAGGTATTTATCGTTTTAGTAAAGGTATTTTTTTGCATCAAGTCAACTAAAGTACAGAAACCAAAATGATGACATCTATCCATGCTTCATCGATGAAAACATAAACGGTAACACGTTTTTAAATACGTTGAACTGTTCGGATGATCTTCTAAAGAGAGCATAAAGTAGATACCTCATATTCACTTCTGTTTTTAAATTATACTTCTACATACTCGTAAGTCGTAAGTACCTACACTGTACAAATATATGTACCTACAAATTTTTAACTAATTCAAAACATAAAATCATAATAATGACATCCCTATATCAATAATGCATTAATAAAAGTTATAGGTAAGTAGTATTATATTATTTTATCTGATAAAACCGTCGTCACAAGTGGTTAATTTTATGAATACTGAATAAATGTTTATCTTCAATCAAATATACCCTACACAAAATATTTGCCAAGCTTCCCAAAATATTCTAGTTAGTTTCCCTTCTTTTCCCATATACCTACATACCTAAAATATTAAATACCTAATAAATGTTAGTTATAATAAGCTAAATCGCTAAATGTAAATTAACAAGAGAGTTACATGACATATAATTGCTGCTCTTTTAATAAATGTTATTAAACAATGATTAATTTATCATCAATCGTCGCAATATACACATTACTAAATGCTAAAATCTTAAGATATAAAATAAAAGAGGCCATGATAAATTATGTACATGTACACAAATTGAAAATAAAAAGTTAATGTCATAGCGAAAGGAAAAATAGTTATTGCACTCACCTGATAGTGAGACAAAGACTATTCCAGGCAAAATGAACACAGAATTCGAAAAACCATGTTCGATTGGACCATCCTGACCGCCCCCTAAATCTACCATTGTCATAAACGCGCGGTGTCAATTTATTCCAGGAATTATTGCTAGTTTCGCGCTTTAATTCTTGTAAATTGTTGATATCGATGACGTTCATACACAACCTAAATGTAAATCTGACATGGGGAAAATTGAAATCCCCAAAAAAGCACTAAATGCTAGTAACATTAAGTTTTTGATATTGGTATACAAGGCACTTTAAATTTGAAATTTTAATTCATGTATTGTCGCTAATTTGACGTTTCATAACTAAAATATTGTCAATCTATAAACCGAATAAGATGGATGAAGAAGGTACTTTAAAAGTGCCAGAAAATTTTAATATGTCTAAAATTAATATTCCAGAAATACCAGATGACATTATTTTCCCAGATGAATTAAATAGACTTTTGAGAGAACAAATCCGAGTACATTAAACAAGTTGCGTGATTTTCCTAATTTCTAAATTATTTACTTATATTTTTCAGTACTACACACACGAAAATGGTATGCTTCAGAAAAATTTATCAGAAAGTGAATTCAAATATAGTACTTGCAAAAGTAAAATTGCCCAATTAGAATCAAAGTTGAAAATGTATGAGAATGATGGAAAAAGTATATTGAATTCAACTCAAGTTGCTAGCTCTAGAATAGTCGAACTAAGTAAAAAACTACGGGAAAAAAACTCTGAACTGGAAGCACTAAAGACGAAGAACTCAAAATTGGAACAACTTATTTATGAATTGCAAGAAAATCCAGTGGAAAACAGGGATACAGGTTTATAAATTATAAAGTTTTTATTAGCTAACTATTCACTGAATTAATTGAAGTTTTGCAAGATGAAGAAAAGCCTAAGAATGAGTTAGAAGAAAATATAAAAAAACTAGAAGAAAAACTGAGTTATAAAACAAGTAAACTTTCAGAGGTAAGAAACGCAAATTTTCAGTTAAAAAATGACTTGAAATTGATGAATAAATGGTTACAACAAGAAACTGGTGAAAGTTTTGAATCTCTACAATCACTGACAAGTTCAAGTGGATGTTGGAGAGGCAGAGCCCAAATCATTATTGATTTGCAACAGAAAAATAATGAACTGAAAGAGAAGTTGAAAAATGTCCAAGAAAAAGGTAGTTGATTTGTATTTATGAGAAGCATGCATCTGAAAATTATTACATTTTAGTTAGCAAAAATTCTGTGGAATCACTTTCGAGTAAAGCAGAGAGCAAAATCAGTTTCTTATCTAAAGAAAATGATGATTTAAAAGCACAACATGAAGAACTTAAGAAAAAATGTGATGTATTAAGGGCTAGATGCCGAGTTCTTGAGAGTGATTATACTCTTCTAAAGTCTAAGTATACGATGACCAAAGAACAGTCAGAGAGAGATCAAGACATCATTGCAACATTATCGGTAAACAAAACCAATTTATCTCTTTCTCATAAATAGTTTTATTTTTTAGGCTCAGATATCAAACACTAGGGAGATGAAAAGTAATATATTGAAAGAGAAGGACAGTTTAATTATGAAAATTGAAAAAGAAAAAGACATGTTAGCTAAACAAATCGAAGAATATAAATCTGCTGTTAAGAAAATCAAAGATGATTTGGAACTGAAGACTGAAGAAGTAGAAAATTTAAATAAATCACAGTCTTGTCATAAATGCGGAATTCAATACGTAAGTTTATGATAATTGTTAATTTATTTAAATAAGTAACAAAATATGTATACCTTGTATCATTTCTTCTATTATTGCAGCAAAATGAAAAGAAAGTAAGTCTCTTAGAAGCAGAACGACAAAAACTCTTGGAACTTACTGAACTTCAAAACAACCGTCTAATGGCAGAGAGGGAGGCACATTCCAAAACTCAGTTCTTGCTCCGGTATGAGAAACAACGGGCTGCTAAAGCTGAAGCGAATGCAGCAAGAAAAGAACTGGAATCGAACTATTCCTTATCAAGTTACAGTTCATCTAATATTTCAGAGAAAGCTCTTGGTTTTAGTTTGAAGGACCAGCTAGAACTTGCAGAAGAGAATATAAAAGCATTAAAGACAAGACTGGAAATAGAGCAGTTTGAAAGGAAAACTGACTTGCAAGAATTTGCAAAAGTTTTGCAAAGTTTTGATAGCAAAGTGGAGTGTATTGAGATGTGATGCTTTTAACAAATTTATTAATAGAAAAGTAAATCACAAAATTTGTTTATTATTTTTAAATACAAGAAATTTTTTATACAAATTTTTTCAAGATGTATTTGTTTCAATATGGTCAGATCTGCTTAAAATTATTTCCTCTCATCTAAAATTGTGCAAGGTATGCAATTTTGACATTTTTAAGAGGTTTCTGCATAAGATCTCCTTTTAATATTATATCTTGCAAATAAATTTTTGTGTAAATATTATATATGGCATCATATTTGATAATAATTACAAATTTAAAAAATATAATGGAATGTAAGAAACGTACACCCTTTCATTATTACACTTTATTAATTATTTTGCGCAGTATAAACAAAGTTTTGCGACATATTTACTTTTACAAATAAAAAATGTTTTCGAACATGAAATGGGGAGGTAGGACATTTTACAAAAAACAAAAACAATGAATTCAAGCCTACTTCAGTTAAACAGTAAAGCGATATTGTACTGAAACAATGAAACAGTCCAAAGTAAAATCGCAAAGCAAAGCAATTTGATACAGAAAACATTTTGAGTACAGGGTACACGTCCATACAAATAAAAGTACAGGTAAACTTACGTGAAGCAAGTACATAAAACGCAAAATATTTATGCCTTTTCAGTTTTATGGTTTATAAATATAATTAAGTTATTACACGAAATTAGCAGTGCCGGGTCAATAATGCAACAGCTTCAACAAATTAAAATTATAAGAACCACATCCTAAAGATTAAAATTTATAATTGCTTTGAGAGTTATGGGCTTGGAACAATTAACAAAAAACTCCTCTTTTTCTGCAAAATTTGCTGACACTATTTAGCCTTCCTCAAGGCTATTTCATTGTAACACATTTAGTGTAGTGAAAGAATAAACAAAATGGTTTATTTTGCGAAGTATTTGTTGCAGCTGCAAAACCGACCTTCCCCTTCATTTTCAAGGGTACTGAATCTGAATTTGAGGTGTGTTGAATTTCTAACCCTGCACATACCCTGCAATTGGCAAAGAAACAATTTTTTTAATTTCGCATCAGCGGTGAACTCTATATCCCTCGTCCCCTCCATTTTCGAGGGTGCTAATCAAGATTATAATGTTCACAACCCTCCTCAACCCCCTAGAACGAACCAAAACTACCCCCAATTTGATTTGATGGAAACTCTTTTTATTCCTTTTTTAGCAGGTACAGGATTTATCAAGTGTTATAGGATATTGTCACCACGATATTCGTGATCAGCACCCTTGAAAATGGAAAGTTTCTTGTTAGATTCCATTACAAGGATTAAGGGGGTTGTAATCAACACCCTTGAAAACGGGAAAGGAGCATAAAGGTTGTTTTTAGGGTAAGAACGAAAGTTAAGGGTAGTAGGTAATTTTGGTCCATTCGAGGGTCGTAATCATTTCATTTGTGATCAGTACCCTCAAAAATGGGGGGGAAGAATATGCAACATGTAATCAAAAAAAGGGATGGTTTTTATAAGTGCCAATGTGCAGGGTTAAAAATTCAAATTCGAATTGGTTTCGTAGCTGCAACAAATTCCCTATCCTTAACATTCTTTCACTACACTAATTAGCCTTGTTTTAATAAAGGCAGAAGTTGTCAATTGCTTTCCCATATGTGACAAAATGACAAAAACATTTTATTTTATTAACTTTATTGACATAAGAGATAATTTGGTGTAGAATTATCTTAATTCACCACTTCTTTAAGAAAAAAAACAGGAAACAGAAAGCTGTATATATTTCTAAACAATGAAGTATCCAAAGTACTCAGGAGGATAGGAAATTACAATAAATAATTTTCTTAATAAACATAATGCTGAAACAAATTTGAATGAAGTTACATCCAATAAATGATATTTTTAGACATTTTTTTATATTATACAATTATGCTTACATTTTCAATTCTAAAAAAAAAAACAGGTTTTTATTAATATTTAAAAAAAATATTAAATTCATAAAAATATATTTAAAATTTAAAATATACAAAAGTTTTTCAAAAATAGCTAAATGTTAACTCTAGAATTTTATTAAGTAAAAAATTATCTTTCATTGGCATTTCTTTCAAATAATGTTAATTCTGCTCTCTTACCCGTACAAGTTATATGAAAAAAAAAGTTTTTGTAGCAGACCATGTGTATTATACCAGCTTGTGGATGACTAAGAAATTCAAATATAACATAAACATATTTGTCCTCACACCCTGCGATGAACTGTTTCTGAGATACGACTGCACCTGAGAATATCCGAGTAGAAAAAAATGTTTTTTTTTTTGTTTTTTCGCTGATCTTAGTTTGTAGTCTTAAGAATATATTGTATGTAAATTTCATATTAAAATTCCAATAACTGGAAGTTATGGACAATTTACCGGAATGCATTAGACATCAAGATAAGAACAAACGCTAATCAGCATTGAGATCAAAGATGCGGAACGCATGCGAAATGCTGAAATCACAACGCGACACGTGAAGGGAGGATTAAGCGAAGGCAGTCACGTATTACAGCAGAAAATGCTATCATTGCTACAGAGGAATTAATCTATAGCTCAGGAAACACAGATTAACAGTAAAGTAAAAAAAGAAGAGATATATTTACATCATGTAATTATGAATTTTTTACAAAAATCGATTTTTCCAAAAAAAAAATCTCCAAGTTTGGAATATGAAGAATATCAGGTGTAAATGTTATCTTGATATTCCAGGAACTGTAAAAGTTATCGGCGGTTCACCAAGAAGCTGATGAGCGACCTAATTCTCAAACGCCAAACTTCAAATGCAATTATCTCGAAATATACTATTCAAAGACTCTTCCAAAAATATTTGGAAAATGGCTCGACCTATTGCTTCCAAAATTTGACTCAATATTCAAACAGGTTTTCTATTTTGGACGGTAGGATTTTTTTTCACTTAATTATTTTTTTTTTGGAGCCAAAAAGATCCGAAATTAAGGTTGAAAAATGAATGTAAAGTTCAATCGGCCGCCTTTTCGTGAAAACATTTTGTTTTTAAATCCTATGTAGAGAAGGGCATCATACATTTTGAAAATTTTGTTTCAAATCAACTGTCTGCATGTAATCTTGGGAACCACAGACCGTGCGAGCAAGGGACATTTTTTACACTGGCCATGATATATAACGGGTGATTCAGTTTGACATTCGCGGCCTCATACCTCTTTTATTTTAACAAATAGCTATGACAAATCCTGTATATTTTTAAATTGCCGCTCAAACTCTTGCAAATGACATTATTAGATCATCTCCATGATATATGTCAAAATTGCTATAGTCAACTGTTTTTGTTCAAACACTATATTTTTTTTATCAATTCTGGAAAATATTTTTTCCTGCGTTCAGCTATATAAGGTAGTCTATAGTTTCATTAGAAATATTGCTAGAAAAACAGCAAAAGATGAACCCTACTTTCAGTAGTGTTATTCTGAAAAATGAGAACCAGCTGCGGAAACAACTGAATTTTGATGTTTCTAAATAACGGTTTGTCAAAACAATTGACATTTTGTACCTACCTATGCCAGGTATTTATACCAACATCGTTCTACGGAGAGACAACTTCCATCAGATAAAACTTTCGGAAAGTTGGCCAGGAATTTGGCGGCAGATGGAAGTTTTCAAAAGAAAAGATGAGTTTTTAAACCCAAAAGGGTAAGAAATGAAGAACATTCGATAAAGATGTTAAATGGCCTTCTAGATCTCGGGATCCTATAGATTTCTTTCTTTGGCCTTACCTAAAAGGAAAAGTTTACTCTTCGCCTATAAATGATATTGACGACCTTAAAAACAGAATAAGAGTAGAATATCCGAGATTAAATGAAGAAACACTAGAATATGTTTGTACCAAGGGAGTGATAAACAGAGATATTCTGTATTTGGAAGCAAATGGAGGTTATTTTGAACATTTGAAATCAGTATCGTTTTAAATTGATATATTATCGTATTAAAGATAAAATATGTTACTTTAAAAAACATAGTAACATGTTTGAGGTGTTATTGAGAAACGAAGATCACTTTCTCGTGGCCACTTTTTGCCCTCTATCGAATGGTACAATCAATTTTTATATGTAACGTTTTGTCTCTTCAACAACTTCATTTTTTTAAATACGACCCTGGTAATTTTATTACATTTTTTGCAAGCCTTCATGACCCCCTCTACTGTACTGCCTCAGTCCGAACCAAATTCAGACATTTTGTCTCGAAACATTCATCTTCAGTGTATTCGTTTAAAATATTATCACCACGCGATATAATAAAACATCTATTATTATTAACTATTACCATCACTTGGTCATACATAACTCAATAAGCTGTTGCGTCAAAATTAAAACATTATTACAATTGTAATTTTATTATGACAAATTAATTCTTAAAAATGCATATGAACAACCAAAATGCCAACTGAATATTATTCTTTAAAAAATTTCAGTAAATGTTCAAACATTTTCGTTTTGGCAAAGGTTGAAAATGAAGATCAGCGTAATATTACTGGAATTTATTATATCTGTAACTGCAACTGTGAAAGGGCATGTCAGATGTATTTGTATGAATATCCTGAAAAAAGTGGATTGGAATTTGTTTGAATTTTGAGCACTCGAGAAACCTAGAAATAACTATGGACACGGGAATAAAACTCTAGTAATGTTTTATTTTAATGCGTGGTGGTAATAGTTTAAATAACTAGATGGATTTCACAGGGTCTAACAACACTTACGAGTGTACGATAATTCAATAAACAAAATCTAATAAAAAATTTAGATAAATTTGGAACGAATACACTGAAGATGAATTTTTCGAGACGAAACGTCTGAATCTGATTCGGGCTGAGGCAGTACAGTATTAGGGGTCATGAAGGCTCGCAAAAAATTTAATAAAATTTCCAGGGTTGTATTTAAAAAGATGAAGTTGATGATGGTTCTGGAGAGATGAAACGTTACATATAAAAATTGACTATGCCATTCGATAGAGGGCAAAAAGTGGCCATGAGAAAGTGTTCTTCTTTTTTCATTATCACCTCACACAAGGTTGAAATGAAACAAAAACGGATTTCCAAAGTTTTTCTTTCAAATATTTCGGAAACTTATCATGTTAGCGTTAATTTTTTAGAGGCATAATGTTGGTCCCCTGATTACGCAATTTTGCCCCCCATTTAAGCTAGTTTGTACCTATCTCTTACCGTTTTCGAGATCCCTGTAGTGAGAAGCGAATTTGTAACAGCCTGTATATCCCGGTTGATATATATTTTATAAAACGATTTGTCAGCAAAACTCAACATGTACTTTCAAATAAAAAAAAAACTGGATAATCAAATAGATAAATTTTTGAGATAATAATTCCTATAATTCACCTATTTTTTTTGCGGTCTACTCGGATGTTTCCCCTTAAGTTAAACAAATTGAACATTTATTCTGGACATAAATAATTTGTAAGGGTCTAAACCACTTCAATAAAACAGTTCAGTTTTATATTACATTTTATTTAACATGTATAATAACTATAATTCACAAAATTAAAGCATATAAAGGTGTTTTCTACAAACTTATCAATAATACATGTCAAAAAAACAAACCGTTATATTCTATAAACAAATAAAAATGTGGTAAGTGATGTAGTAATAAAAAAGTTTGTAATAATGATTTAATTAAAGCAATAAAAAAAGAAAACATTAAATATTGAACTGCATCGATAAATCAGCACCAAGTAACTATTGATTTGACAGATTATAGACATAAAATGTCACTAGATTGTCTTTGATACACACTTAATGGAACTCCCTTGTAACAAGTGTAAACAAATTAAATTTATTCAGAAAACAAACTACATACATTCTCCATAGTAACTTTATTGCCTATATTTTCCAAGTTACAATGATTTAGTACACCCGATATAAAGTAGCATTAATATATAGCACTGTTTCTTGAGTCATCTCAAAGCATTTTAAAATTGATTTTTACCAAAGAGCAAGTAGTTTAAATTGTCTAAAATTTTTATTAACATCTACCCACCTACACATATTTATTAAATTTTATTTTAGCCTTTTAAAACTTCATTGACTATTTTTTATATTCTTCCTACGAACATAAAAAACTTGAGTAAATGTTAATGTCTTAGTTTCAATAAATTTTGTTAAAACAACGGGGAATTATGAAATTAAACTTGTAAGAATGTGTAAAAATATGCACCCCCTAAAATAGCCTAACACAGTTCTAGATTTATTAAGAGTATAAGGCAAAATCTTGTGCGTTATAATCAGAAATCTTGTCCTTAACATTTATGGTATAAATATATAAAAGTGTAAAGTTTTATTAAAAAGTTAACATTGTAAAAACTACAGGAAGGATAACTTTCTGAAGGCACAGTTCATTGCTCTGGTACTTTTTATCATACATAAGACACCAATAGGAATGGAATTTTTACCAATAAATGCAAATCAGAATGGACTTGTCCGTTTATGAATGTATTGAAAAGCATTGCTCTCATACAGCACTGGGCCAAAATAAGGTAGTAAATATTTGCCGAGTTAACGCATAAATTAAATTCCAAAAGAAAAAGATGTAAATTACAGAGATAAAATATACATGGCAAGTGAAATGGCGACTAAACGTGATTGTCCAAATTTGATTTACTCTGTAAGATTTACCACCTTATTTTTAATTTATCTGCAAAATTGTGATTGAAATCGGTAAGCAATTTACCTGATAAGATAATAATGTGTGCATAACCATTTTTTATATCCATATGATTAGTATTTTTCTAGATAACATTCTCAAATGTAAAATAAAATATATTATATGACAAATTAAATATCAGAATTTTAAATGCAAGGTTCAACATCTCATAATATCAGAAAGGTTCTGTAAATAAAATGTATAGTTTGAAAATAAACAGTTTTTAAAATATATTTAAAACGCTTTCCAATGAATTTGATTTTCTTGATATTTTAAGTAAATTTGACTGTACTTTTTACAACATTATTGGTTACATTTACAAAAAAAAGTGAGAAAACTTACTGAAAACAGAAAATTCCAAAAATCATACGAATTAATGTCATTAAAGACTTGGCTTTAGATTCCAACTTTGAAATCAAAACCTTCTACATGCAAATCCAATTCTGCAGACAAATCATACATCACCCACTCACATGTTCAAAATGTTTTACACATTCGCAAAATGACTCCAACTTAACACCTCCTAGGTCCACAGAAAGACATCTGGATGTTTAGATGTTGGCCAACTGCACATAGTTGGCGGGTAACATACCAACCTGCCCCGTACGTTGGACCTCACCTGTCATCCAGCCCCCATCGATGCTGCTAACATTGATGATGAGGTCACCATCACGGAAACTGACCTCATCATCGTCCTGTGCCTCATAATCATACATAGCTTTGTAGACTCGGCCCAGGGAGCCGTAGTTGTGATTAATTGGATCCATGTCATGCACAGAACCTACGACATTGGTGAATATTAGTTAGTGAACGGATATTAATAGCTATGCAGTATAGCATACAATTTTTTTTATAATAAAAATAGACCCTATCGGCTAGTTTTTTTTTAATTTGTAAAATAAAATTTTCTCTTTATCTACTGGGTATTTTGTCCTAAAAAAATTAAGAAATGAACCTTTGCGCCAAAAGGATTGGTTCAGGGGTAAGACCACTGTACAATTTTCAGAAAATTATTATTTTTTATTGATTTAAAAGATGTTTCGAATCTTCTAGAATACGGGGAAAGAAGTTGTATAAATTTTTTTCTTTGAAATTCCGTGCTCTTTCCCAGACGCATCGGACTGCTCCAAAATAACTAACAAAACTTATAGGTGTTTTTCTCGAAACACGAATTTTTTAAACGACACACAACACAATTCCAACAATTTTCATTCTATTCACTCCAAATTTTGACCATATCTTTAAAATAACATTCCAAAGAGAAAAACCTACGGGATTTTTCATAAGTTGATTTTAACATTATTTATCCACGACTATTGTATAATGTACCCATTATACGTCTGTTTGCTCGACCTTAATAATACCCATTAATCACGGCAGTGATTAATGAGTCATTAATCACTACTGTCAGATGCTTCCTTAATTTAGCTATAATATTATATTGTTCTGCTACAAACAATCCGTTTTTAAAATTTTATCGTGTAAACCACTAAATATTTTCAATTCAGTGCTGTACATATAAAAAAAAATTAAAAAAGTGAATTTTCCTAGACCGGATTCGAACCCGGGACCCGCGGTTGGAAGGGAAAGAGCATCTACACTGAGCCATCAGCGACTTCATTTGTGCAAGTCGTATATCTGTTTCTTAACATACCATGTTTTTCGAAACATTTCAAAAAAAACTTCAACAAAAATATTTAGTAGTCGTGGATAAAGTATAGTATTCTACTCCCGTATAATGGGTATTATTCACTCGGTGATTTAGGCCACTCGCCTGCGGCTCGTGGCCGTAAACTTCACCTCGTGAATAATACCCATCATTATACGCTCGTTGAATAATATACTATTATTGACAAATGATTGCCCTTTTTTTATCAAAAATTGAACTTTTTACTTCACATGCTGGCCAATCTAACAAAAATTAATGTTTTGTCATGTAGGTACCAATCACGTAGGTTAAGAGAAATTTTTTTGCCTTTTTCCATATTCAAATTTATGTCAGTTACATTGCGGTAGTCAGTTTTTCAATGCTGTAAAAATTTTTAAATAATTATAATATACAATAAATAGATATAGATCAATCTCATCATATAAGCCCATTTGATTTATTAGTACTTCAAATTTAGGTTTGAGTAGGACATTTTGAGATATATTTTTAAATTGCATGATATGCGAAAATTAATACTGTTTTTGTAGACAATTTTTACATCTCATTTCATTGTGAATCAACTTGGAGTATTACATAGATAAATCTTTCCTGCGGAGTACATGTACATACCGGGTGACCACGAGATTACTACCCAGGCTCTAGCTTAGGCACGAAAAAAGATATCAATTTCAAATTTTGGGCATGTGCACCATTGAATTTGATGCAAAATTTAATCATAAAAACAACTGACCGTCACTTCCTGTTTAACCAGAAATGCCCTAAACTTTGTTATTTCATGTGGAACACCCTGTATATTATTTTTGTTTTCAATTCTGCTGAAGAAACTAACACTAAAATATGTATTATGTCCTATACCTATCTTCGTTTGTTTTCTTTCAAAAGGATTTTATAAATGACACATTTGACATTTTAAAGCACAATTTTCTCGGAAACTGTCAAAGATAGGTATAGGATATAATACATATTTTAGTGTTGGTTTCTTCAGCAGAATTGAAAACAAAAATAATATACAGGGTGTTCCATATGAAATAACAAAATTTAGGGCATTTTTTATGATTAAATTTTGCCTCAAATTCAATGATACGCATGCCCAAAATTTGAAATTGACATCTTTTTTTGTGCCTAAGCTAGAGCCTGGGTAGTAATCTCGTGGTCACCCGGTATATGTTTATATTTCGGAAAAATATAATTTTTAAATAGGTACATATTTAAACAGATTATTATGTATTAGTAGGTTAGACTTGGTTTGATTAGATTACGTTATGTTATAGTGTGTTTTAAATTGATGAGAAAAGTTTGCTACACGATTAAATCAATGTTTTCTACTCAAGCATCTCTTTCAATCAGCATATACATAACTAGAAAGATAAGAAACAAGTGAAATCAACTCTGCATTTCTTCAGTACTCTAAGAACTTGAATACTTTTTAAAATTTCAAATCATCCTGTATATAGTTAAGGTCCTTTCACCTATTTTTTTCCCTTTATACTGTTCTATAAACTTTCTATTTTCCTTAATAATTTTTACATAACTAAATGATTTTATCTCGAAATTTCATCATCCTGCAAATATTTATGGTTCATTTATTTTTCTTCTTTTTACTGTTCTATAAACAATATGCTATCCATATATACCTAGAATATATTTATATTTTTTACGGTTTTTCATAATAGTTTAGTCTAAAAATATCGTAAAATAAGTAATTGATATTTTGAAAATGAGACCGTTTTCTTTTCAATCCTCAACAATTTTTCATTTAAAAATTATTTTTTTTATTTATTAGCTTGTTTAATTCTTTTCACAGGTGGCAAAATACACACAAAAAATAGTTTCTATCTAGAAAATTAATTTAACATAAAGTAATTCAAATGCTAGTTTTAAGAACTTCATAATTATTAAAACCTGTGATTTTTCAATTAAATATACATAGTGTAACCAAAATGCTTGGCCAAACAATGGAAGATATTACAAATGCTTAATTTTGGAGTTTATAAGTTTTTTTTTTAATTGTAAGAAAAGAGTTGTAGTAATTTCAACCAAATTAGGATGCAGCTTTAGTTTTTATCCACAAATGTATGCATGTAGTAGCTGTTTTTTTATTACAAGGTTCGACTTTTTTTCTTCAATATTTCAATCAGAACTCAATATTACAGAGATTCAACATTTTTGACATAGATGACAAAGTTCCATACCATGTATAGAATCATGTATTACTAAAAATATCATGTCACTTTTAAAATAATGATAATAATAAAGTAATCACGTTATCTACAAAGTTCCTCTCTACTGTTTTTATCAATAATCCATGTAGCTTCTCACTCATTTTCATCTTGTGTCCCAAAAACAAATTTATATGAACACTTTTTTATTATAGGATATAAGTTTCCATAAAATACTGTAATATCAAGACAACCAACCATTAGCGGAGATGTGGGAAACTCATTGGACTATTTTATATAAAAGCATGCCAATGAGAACAAAAAATACCTCTTATATTTTGTCGATATATGTCTGTTTTATGGCAAATTTAATTTCTCTTCTTCCTTTCAAATTATAGATATACAGATATACTGTGCGCTAATGAATTTTTAAAATTCCTGTTAGAAATATTTCGGCTAATTTCAACTTATTTAAAAGAAAAATAAAGTAGCATCCTTCGAATTAATAACTTCGAATTAATAATATCATTATTTGATTATTACAAGAACTTTAAGAGGATAATTAATTTCCATGTTTTTTAGATTTCTCAAACATTTTTTACCGCCAGTAAATTTTTTCATGTGAATAACACCGTTAAATAAAATTTAAAGCAAAAATCAAAGTAGGAAACAACTTACAAAAGATGAAATACACGAAAATTTAACTATAAGGTTAATAACAAAATTACATATTAAAATGCCAAAAATTATATTAACAACAGATTAACTAATTAACCAATAAATGATTATTGCTGCTACTAACAGTATTGAGTACATTTCATAATAGGTGTTCAATATGCCTGTAGGATATTAATTTAATTGTATGTGCTGAATCTGAATCCTGTCTTCTCTTAACCCTTTCGCTACGCAATGCGTCTGAACGTAGCTACCGCGCTGTGCGCAAAAGTTTATCGCGTGCGAATATATACAGGGTGTTAAAAAAAGAGTGTAAAATATTTCAGGAGGTAATAGTATGAACCAAAATAAGCAGAAAAGTCTTAATAAACATGGTCCGCAAAGTAACGGTTGCGGAGATATGGACCACTATTCGTTTTTCAAACATTTTATTTTATTATGAATAAACTGACAAAGGAAGCTTTTAACAAACAAAAAACAGAGTTACAGAAGATGTTCAAAGTGCCCTTCGTCCATTTCCAAGCAGGCATGACATCTTCGTCTCAACGATATTCGAACTCTTTCGAAAACACCCTCCTTGGTTTGGATTTCTTGACACTTTTGATTAATCCGTAGCTGCAGCTCTTCCAGGCTATTTACAGGAGTACCATACACTAATGTCTTCAAATATCCCCAAACAAAGAAATCTAGAGGGTTCAGATCAGGCGATCTTGGAGGCCATAAAACAGGTCCGGCCCTTCCTACCCATCTATGTGGAAAAGTTTGGTGTAAATGCTCTCTAACGGCCATGGAAAAATGAGCTGGAGCACCATCATGCTGGAACCACATTTGTTGCCTCTGATTCAAAGGAATGTCTTCCAAAAACTCATACAGTGTGTTCTGCAGAAAGTTGAGGTAAGCAGCGCCTGTTAATCGGTTTGGTAAAACAACAGGACCTAGAAACCTGTCACCTACAATACCCATCCAAATGTTTAATGAAAAACGTGCCTGATGTCCAGATTCTATTAGAGCATGAGGATTTTCGTCGGCCCAAATATGCGTATTGTGAAAATTAAACACTCCATTTCTTGTGAACCCGGCCTCATCAGTAAAAAGAATGTTTGCAAGAAAACGAGGGTCTTCAGCATCATGACGTAGAAACCAGCGGCAAAAAACCAAACGTGCTTGATGATCATTTATTGGATTTAAGGCCTGTACTCGTTGCACATGGTATGGATAAAGCAGTTGCTCGTGAAGGATTCTCCAAACAAGAGGACCACTAATTCCTACCTCGGCTGA